CATAAAACGGGGGAAACTTTTTTTGTTTATTTTTTGCGTCGCCTTTTTACACTACCAATGTGGGTAAGATTATAATGAAATGGCTGCCTGGATCAGCAGATGTTACGCGCTTTACAGTTTTATATCTATAACGTATACTGTGCAGTTAAAAATGCATTTTCCCCCCCACCATATAATTATATTTGTATGTATGCTGTGCATATTGTGAAAATTTTTTAAAAGATTAAACTTGCCGCACGGGGGAGGATTTGCCTATCCCGGGGGGAGCGCGGCATTTTGCTACTGTATAGGATGATGTGAATACAATATGCTAATAGAGATAAAGCCCTCATGGGAAAGTAGCATATTCGGTGCCCCTTCACCTTTCGGGGTAAGGCATATTTAAAAAAAAAAAATATCACGCTTCTGCATTGTACGTTTGCACTGCTGCTGCTTCTTTTTTTTGCGTAACAACTATAATACGGCATGTGCTTTCCCTATATACATACTTCTTTCTAAGGGAGGCTAAATTGCTTTCGTTCCCCGCGGAAGGCGGCGGGGAGTGACCGACTTGTACATATATGCATGTATATAATAGTTGTAATCCGCCCCGCGTGATTCGAAACAGGTAGAGCGGAAAAAAAAAAGATAACTCCTACGTCAACTATTTTGAACTCCTCTTCACATTTTTTTCCCTTTTTCCTGATGATATTTTATTTATGTTTGTTTTACGTTTTATGTACACCTGTGCCTGTTCAGGAGGCAGCACCACAGTATGTTCCTACCTGGAGGGGGAATTTATTTCTTCGCAGTTACGATATGCTTTCACCTACGATATCCTTTCACTTAGGATATCCTTTCACCTACGATCACCTTTGCGCATTGCGCAATGTACCCCCCCCGCAAGAAGAGTTAAAGAACATTTTATATTTAGTTATGTTAGCCGCCCATCTCACTGATTTGTGTGAGAGGGTTCCCTTTTTATTTATTTTCTTTTTTTAATCTACCTTTTCACAGTTTCAAATTGTGTTCATAAGGTGGCATTTTTGCATAACAGCTAAAACGATGGCGTTGGTATCTATATCTTTTTTTTTTTTTCCTTTTCCATTTTGTCTGAATTTCGCTCATAGCACAGGACTTTGACAGCACGTTAAACAAATGGGGTTGTTAGCGGCTTACCATTTTGGAACAAAAACGCCGAGGTTGTCACATTTACAAAAAAAAAAAAGCAAAGTTGTTAGTGCAGACATGTGTGCTCATCATTACACTAGGTAAAAAATGAGCACAAGTGAAAGTAATAATCGTGATATGGGATATTGATAGGTGGATACCACTTTTTCGTGTTCTTTTTTGTTTCCTCCCCTTTTTTTCCCTCCTTTTTTTCGCTGACCACATTCGTTGCACTGAAAATTGCCAAAAAAACGAATGCGCTCATTATTCTGCATATCGTTGCAGCTGCGGGGGACATCGCATAGCTGTTGTACATTTTAATGAATGGGTTTATATCGGGTTTGAAGCATACTCTGCCCACCTTTTATCTTCCCAATGGAATCGGCACATTGGACAAGTCGAAAAGATGAACAGCAGCCCTGGGAGTGAGAAAAA